ACCACCAGCGGTGCGAGGACACAGATGACACTCTGAGCCCTCAAAAAGCGACACCAGTAGACTCTCCCATTGAACGCCTAGCTTCTTTTGATGCATTTCTTCTTCCCGTCATCAGAATCCCAACCACACGTGTCTACCAAGATCGTGGAAACAAGAGCTTAACAAAAGAGCTCAGCACACTTCCTCAGATGAGCTTGGGCCAAAGCACTCTAGCTTGGAAGAATGGTCCCACCAAGGAAACGACAGAGGATTGGACAGATCGGACCCAAGAGAGGCACCACTTTTGAGGCCAAAAGGTGTCATCTGTCCCTCTCATAAAGAAAGGACTTCAAATTGGCGACGCACAGTCACCGCCGCAGCGTGACACTGCGCGGCCTGTGGCATTCCCGTGGAGCTCCAGCAAACGGACAGAAAACTTTGGTTTGCAATTCATCCGTGGAAGGCTCAAAATATGGTGTTTCTTCCCAAGAGAGTTGCACCAGAGCCCGAAAGGATGCGGAAACATCGAAAAACATCTTTGACGTCCAAACCACATTGCCAATCTCAGGCATTGGCAACAAATCCGCCAAGGTCCCCCCGTGAGATGTGTTTGGAGTAGTTCAGAGCGTGTTTGAGTGCAATGTCGTTGCGGCGTGATTTAGGGAGGTTTGCATCCGTTCTTCGGCAGAGTTCTATCCCTCAGTAGAACTATCCCTCAGTAGAACTTGGGCAATCGTCGCCAGCATCTGTGTTTGCATTACCTGTCCGCATCGTCAGTGTCACCTCACATTGCTCGCCTCTTTTCGCGACTCTCAGTTGACCTGTGCTTTTAGAACCCGGGTCGAGGACAAACCACGCAGAGCTTCGCAGGCCTTATTTTGATGCTACCAGCCCGCCTCGGCCTGGAGCGGAAAACACCCAACGTTGTCCCAAAACTGGGCTGAAGAACAATGTGAACAGGTGGCGATGCGAGCAGCTTTCCAAAGCTGGAGTGTGTTACACGGCCAAAAGAACGTCTTTTCTGTCGGTTTCCCCGAACGAAGCTGGTTAAACCTGTCTCGTTTGCTGCGGAGCTCACTTGATACATGGCATGTGCACTTCGGCCCTGCCTGCCAGAGGCCTTTTCTTCGAATTTCGATCAAGCCGATCGAGTGGTCACCGATGCCCCGAGGCTCCCACGGCGCAGATCGGATTTGGATCCCGAGGTCCAATGAATGCGACACAACGGGGCCGGCTGTTTTCAGCGCTTCAAACGAAGGCCAACTCAGTTGCCCAAAGGACCTGTTTATAAAAGGTTAACCTTTTGGGACCTCTACTAAAAATAGACCAACAAGGGAAAACCAAAAGGTCAAAAGGTCGGCTTTGGACAACTGAGCCAAATCTCTGCGAGGCGTGAGGTCCTTCAAGGTGAGCGCCAACAGGCGAGGTGCGAGCAGCTGCCCAGACTCGAGACAAATCTGTGTCAACCATTGACAAACACAAGCTGTCATAGAATCTCGTGCTGGTCATTGCAGGGGGTGGGCCTGCTTTTTGGTCACTGCTCGTTGCGGCTCCGAGCGGCATGTGCGAATTCAGCCAGCGCTGGCTTTCATGGGTTCGGGCATTGCACACTAATATACAATCGAAAGCCTGGATTTCGCTGGGAATCCAAGGATCGGAACTTCTCCAGGCTTCCGGCAGCTGGCAATGCATGAAAAATAGGCTGACGGAACCCTCGCGCTACCACAAGCTCGCGGAGGGTTTCCCCACCCTGGCTTGAGCCCACCTGGGCAGCCATGCGCGAAAAATGCCTTGCGACATACAACATTGGTTCAGCGCCTTTAAACTGACAAATCATAGTTTGGACTGAGAATAGGAATCGAATCTGAATGCTCACAATGGGGTCGATACTTCCGTGTCAGCGTTGGACTCTTGAGACTTAAAAATCAAGCGCTGCGCAGTGCACTGCGCTCACAGGTCGAGCTTCGTTCGTCTCAGATTCGCGAGCTGGAGCCAGTAGTCCTCATTGCTAGCACCTGGCGTGCTGGCACGTGTCAACGACACAACAAAACAGGAACTCGGAACATGCTGGGCCCCAAAAGCCACCTGTCTTGATGCATCAACTAGCCACGTGAGCAAGAACAATGATCAGCGAACCGTTTTCTGTATAGTCTTATGCCTTCCCACTCTCACGGAGATTGAGGAGAAGGGCTCGGAGGGCCAGAAATCTTCAGTGCTCTGCCCATGCCCAGGAGCTTGATTTTCGCCCAGGCGCAGTGGACCATAGGATCCTGCCGCAGACAAAAGTTAATGAAATCTTGGAGGGGTAGTTGAAATTGGCTAGCTTGCTATGCTGCGCTTGAGACGCACCGCTTTCGCTTCCCAGTGTTCGGTGCTTAGTGAGAAACACATAGCACAAGGAAGGTCAACTTCGAGCCTCACTCCAGACCCCAGACACGTGGCCACGTTCATGGTATTGGAGGTAAGGAGCCAGCTGATACCCCTTCAACACGCATGATCAAATATTCCGCCTCAACAAATCACGAGAATCGGAAGGGGGCAGGACGCGTGTGCGCGTACGTGCGCGTGTGCGTTTGCGTGCGCGCGTGCGGGTGTGCGGGTGTGCGCGTGCGCACGGGCGCACGGGCGCGCGCTTGCGCGCAGCGCGCAGCGCGCGCGGCGCGGGCGGGCGCGGCGTGAGCGCGTGTGTGGGCGCGTGTGTGGGCGCGTGTGTGGGCGCGTGTGGGGGCGCGTGTGTGGGCGCGTGTGTGGGCGCGTGTGTGGGCGCGTGTGTGTGTGTGTGTGTGTGTGTGTGCGCGTGTGTGTGCGCATGTGTGCGCGTGTGTGCGCGTGTGTGCGCGTGTGGGCGTGTCTCGTGCGTGTGTGTGTGTGTGTGTGCGTGTGTGTGTGTGTGTGTGTGTGTGTGTGTGTGTGTGTGTGTGTGTGTGTGTGTGTGTGTGTGTGTGTGTGTGTGTGTGTGTGTGTGTGTGTGTGTGTGTGTGTGTGTGTGTGTGGTGTGCGTGCGTGCGTACGTGCGTGCGTGCGTGCGTGCGTGCGTGCGTGCGTGCGTGCGTGCGTGCGTGCGTGGGTGGGTGGGTGGGTGGGTGGGTGGGTGCGTGGGTGGGTGGGTGTGTGTGTGTGTGTGTGTCTTTTTGTGTGTCTTTTTGTGTCTTTTTGTGTGTCTTTTTGTGTCTTTTTGTGTGTCTTTTTGTGTGTCTTTTTGTGTGTCTTTTTGTGTGTCTTTTTGTGTCTTTTTGTGTGTCTTTTTGTGTGTCTTTTTGTGTGTCTTTTTGTGTCTTTTTGTGTGTCTTTTTGTGTGTCTTTTTGTGTGTCTTTGTGTGTGTCTTGTTGTGTCTTTTTGTGTGTCTTTTTGTGTGTCTTTTTGTGTGTCTTTGTGTGTGTCTTTTTGTGTCTTTTTGTGTCTTTTTGTGTGTCTTTTTGTGTGTCTTTTTGTGTGTCTTTTTGTGTGTCTTTTTGTGTGTCTTTTTGTGTGTCTTTTTGTGTGTCTTTTTGTGTGTCTTTTTGTGTGTCTTTTTGTGTGTCTTTTTGTGTGTCTTTTTTGTGTGTCTTTTTGTGTGTCTTTTTGTGTGTCTTTTTGTGTGTCTTTTTGTGTGTCTTTTTGTGTGTCTTTTTGTGTGTCTGTTTGTGTGTCTTTTTGTGTGTCTGTGTGTGTGTGTGTGGGCGTGGGCGTGGGCGTGGGCGTGGGCGTGGGCGTGGGCGTGCGCGTGCGCGTGCGCGTGCGCGTGCGCGTGCGCGTGCGCGTGCGCGTGCGCGTGCGCGTGCGGTGCGTGTGCGTGCGTGTGCGTGTGCGTGTGCGTGCGTGTGCGTGTGCGTGTGCGTGTGCGTGTGCGTGTGCGTGTGCGTGTGCGTGTGCGTGTGCGCGTGTGCGCGTGCGCGTGCGTGTGCGTGTGCGTGTGCGTGTGCGTGTGCGTGTGCGTGTGCGTGTGCGTGTGCGTGCGCGTGCGTGCGCGTGCGCGTGCGCGTGCGCGTGCGCGTGCGCGTGCGCGTGCGCGTGCGCGTGCGCGTGCGCGTGCGCGTGCGCGGGCGCGGGGGCGGGGCGTGGGGGCGTGGGGGCGTGGGGGCGTGGGGGCGTGGGGGCGTGGGGGCGTGGGGGCGTGGGGGCGTGGGGGCGTGGGGGCGTGGGGGGTGTGGGTGTGGGTGTGGGTGTGGGTGTGGGTGTGGGTGTGGGTGTGGATGTGGGTGTGGGTGTGGATGTGGGTGTGGGTGTGGGTGTGGGTGTGGGTGTGCGTGTTTGCGTGCGTGCGTGCGTAGGTACGCACGTTCTTGCGCACGCACGCACGCACGCACCATGACCTCCATGTCTAGGCCATTCGAACCCTACCCACCCAAATCAGCCCGCAGCATGTTTGACAGGTCTTGGGCCTGCAGCCAATTATAAACAGCCCCCCCGACAGCCCACCCGCTAACCCCCGCTTTTTGCATTTTTGGGGGGGGTCCTCTCAGCTAGAGATTGAAATACACAGAACACAAACAAAAGAAAGTGAGATTGCAATGTTGTCTAGCTGCTTCTCTAAACGCACGTCGCAACTCTTCAGCCTTTCGGGGTGAGGTTCAAGCATAGCCTGTCTGAAATCCTAACTTGGGGTGTGTGGCCATCTTCAGGGATGTCCCTACATTCATGGTTCCTCTAAAAGTCACGAGGTTGTCCCAACAGGTTCTTAGCGCTGAGCGTCGAACCAAAAATCGGGTGCTCAAAGCTCTTGTGTAGATGTGCTGATGGGCATTGAGGCTAAGGAGCATGCTCCAGTATTGCATGACAGGAATGACGGTATGATGCCTTACACCTGCGAATATTGTACTTGAACTTGAAGCAAAGCATCACTCGGCATGGGTTGCCAAAGTGTACCTTCAAATGACCTCTTGGATTGGTTGTAGTTTCAAGGCCCGACAACTCACATGTCTCAGCTTACTCGTTCAACTACGGCCTGGTGGTTTCCAATCTAACAAGCGCGAAGCGCCTGAATGCCGGCGGGGAAATCTCACAATTCAAGCCAGAAAGATGCCCCAAGCCCAGTGGCACCTTAGACCTCGGTAGAGACCCAGAGCTCGCGTCTCTCCAGGTCCTGCTCCAGCTTTGCAAAGAACGTCTCGAACCCAATCGGCGGAGGCTCCCGCTGAAGCCGGCTCATGCCCTTCAAGAAGCGCGGGGAATGCGGCGAGATCCCGTACCTCGGGAGAGCTAGTTGGGCCGTCCGTTGATGTGAAGCCCCACGCTTCCGAAAGGCAAGAGGGAGGCTGAATGAGGGTCTTCTTTTGGAATAGCCATTCGCCTGTTGGCAAGATCCCTTTAAGCACACCTGGCCAGCCACCCTTTGGGTGAGGCCTGCGGTTTGCGAGCCGCAAGCCAATTGCTTTCAACCCGGGCGGCAGATTGAATACCATCAGAATCTCCTTCTTCGCTGACTTCTTGGCATAGTCATAAGCTGTACGCCCCAGGTAGTCCTGACATCACAAAATGTGAAGCCACGAACAACGAAGGAGTCGCAAAGGATGCTTTGTTTGACAACCCCCGCTGTTGCTCCTTTCCCTTCTGACTTCGATGAAAGCAAAGCGAGCATGGCGAGTCACGGCTCATAGCCCTGCCCAAGTGAACGCAACCGCGACTGCATCCATCTCAATGAGCAACTTGGGTGATGAAGAGTTGAAGGTTGTGGGTGCCGCTGGTTCACTATGTGATCAAAGGTGTAAAATGGGCCGCTCGGGGCACAGCCTTGCCTCTGGTCCATCCAGACCGAGCCACAAAAATGGTTGAACACAACAGTGTCAGGCTCAGGGCACTGGTGGCCACAAACTATGTCCTTCAGAGCTCCCATTTCGGGGTTGCGATTCTGTGGTTACGCAAGTTGGGATAGATCCCTTTGAAAAAAAAAAGCACGTCAGCGCAAAGACCAAGCGCACATCCGAATTTGTCGGGCCCTTTGGGTCCACCCATACAACACACACCACCTGATCTACTCCAGTCAAGCCTGAAGCTCAACAAAAGGAAACCCCCTTTGATTCGCAAAGGTATGCAAATGCAGAAGGGGAATGCCGTGGTGCAAACTGGTGACCTGTGCCTATAGAGTGTCTTGTTCTGTTGATTTTAGTCTTGTAGGTCAATGATCAGGGCCTCTGTGTGCTGTGTCGGTGTAGAATTCCAACCAAATAGATTTTGCCCATGGCCGCATTTAACGACTCTTGGAACGGTCCTTTTTGATGGCCCTGCGAGAGCGGATGAAGGTTGCATACATGTGACTGAGGCCACAGGTTGCCGAGATGCCGACTTGCCATCAGGTCGGCGATTCGGAAAGCCCAAAACTTCAGGGTCCGACAAAATGCTTCCCGAGACAAGTCGCACAGACCCAAAACCGAATTCAGACAAAGGTCCAAGCGCCTGGCCTCTCTCTGTCTCTCGCTCCGTGTCTCCTTCAGAAAGGCACTGGATCCAAAACGCAGAAGTAAAGCCACCATCTGAGGCCTCAGTTCAGTGGAGATGCCCCACCCAGGACAACTCCGCTTCACCGGAAATCCAAGCTGACAACAAAGGCTACACTGACTTAGCGACTTAGCAACAAACTCGCCTGAAAGGATTGAGGGACACGTGCAGCTTGCATTTCATACCTATCTGGAAGTGTCCAATTGAACCGGCTGACATAGATATGACCATGGGATGACAAGGTTGCACAACCTGAGCTCTGCTTTATTTCAGTCGCCTAGCACCCGACACGCACGCACAGGAGACTGAGAGGGCCCCATGTCTGTTCTGCCCATTGGCAGTGAGAACCTGGATCCAGCTAGGCTAGAAAACCACTGGCTCAGAAGGCACGCTTCGAGTGAGCCACTCGCCCAAAGATGTTGTCAGGAACTCGGTGGATCCACACCAATCCTGGACACTTTGCTGTTCCCCCCCCCCCCCCCGTCGGCTTTGGAAATCAGTTGAGCCCAAATCAATCTGACCAGATCCCCCCAAACCGGCTCAGCTCGCTTTCAGCTCGTACGCTCCCCGTCGCCCTCGGCCCCGTCGCCCCTTCGGCCCTTCGGCCGCGCGGCGAGTTCTGCCTCACCGCCTCGTGCAAGGGCCCGCGGCCCAGCATGCCTCGACGCCCATTCACCTAAAGAGCCGGGGGCCGATACAATCTATACGACCTTCTGACCTTCCTGACAAATTGGGTGAGACAATTGGCGGAACGGCTTTTTGGCCGTGCTTCAGAAGGCAACTCTCCTCCCCATGTATCAAAAGAGAGGGAGGACCTACCAGCCTGAATGCTTGGGACTGAATCCCTTGATGTCACAAACCCTTGTCGGGCTCACGGCCAGTGAACACCTAGCTTTCCCACTGTTCGTGCAGCCACTACCGCCTGCACCCGGTCAAATGGCATCCTGGTCTTGTCATATATGACCACGCTGGTCTATGAATGCTCTATTTGTCTCGGATCAAAGGGTTGCCCTCCATCAGTAGCGCTCTACCATTTGAGGGTAAGCCACCAGCCGCAAAGCAGCATGCTGCGGAGAGTTGACTCGCCCTTCCAGGTATTGCAAACCCGGCCCGATGCCCCATTCCCAATTGCCCGAGCCGCGCCGATTGAAGTTCTTAGCTCAAGGGCAACTGATAGCTTCATTTTGTATCACATGAATTCCAAATTCAAATCAGCCACCCGATAAGAATGAAACCGGACTTGTTCAGTTCTTTTCCAGCAGCTCCCGACTAGCGCCATCTTTCCATGCGATCTCCCCGAAAGAACCACAGACCATTCGCGGTCAGTAAAGGGATGTACCAATCCCAATAACAATGATAATAATAATAATGCTGTTTGCATGCCTTTGGCTAGTGTCCTTTTTTGTCAGCGACAACTTCCAAAAACATGCGCATTTTGGTCCAGGCCCCAATTTTCCCAAGATCGGAGATCCCTTAAAAACGACGAAATGCATGTTTGTCCCAACAAAATCTATCCAGAATCCACGTCCGTTCAAAAGCGGCGTTCAAAGCGGCCCCAGGTGCATTGTTTGGCAAATCCAGGCAAGTCTGAGCCTAGCGCCGTTGAACAAGGCGGTTCGCCATGTCCATTCGGTTAAAAACTTCCCGGCAGCCTTTGTGCACATGGTGGTCGTGTTTTTTCTGCGCTCACAGAGAAAGGGGGAGCAGTCGAAATGGAGGTAAAGACCCCAGATGTTCCAAAAGCCTCGAAACAAAAAATCCCAGAAAAACCACTGCTGGAAAGGTGTTCCCTCCCGCCTGGAGGTTCTGGAACCCGTTCCGATCCAGGAATGCGACCACAGCCAAGCGCTCACCCATCAGCTTCCGGCGGTGGCGCTGGACAATACCTCGGCGAATCACGAAAAGGAAGGGGGGGGCGGTGGGAGGGGCGATGGGGGCGGTGGGGGGGCGATGGCTCTCGGGCCCTCCCTTTCTCTGGCCCGAGAGGGAGTTGGAGTGAGAGGTGCGTCCCTCTCTCTGAATACGGAAGAATCGAAGCCGAGCCCTGTGCGGCTGCACACCTGTTCCCTGGGAGTGCGTGGCACAGGTGCCAAGCCCTCAACATTCTCAACGTTCTCTCGTGGCGGAAAAGAATGTCATAAGCAAGGCCGGCAAGGCGGAAGGCGGCAAACATGCTATCCAGCAAACTGCCTGCTTATCTCATTTCTCCGGGCGTTTGGATTCTCGACCGTCTTCCCTGGCTCAGCCCTGCCCACCAAGCTGCGGTCCGTCTTGGAACGCCGCGGTTTTGTCGCAGGGTCTCCATGCGGGACCTGTGCCCAAGAGCTAGCGGCCCGTGTCACGGCCTCCGACCACTCGCCAGAAGCGGTGGACGAGAACATGGCGAAGTCCACAGACTCGCAGCGCGTCTCCTCCTCTGGAATCTCCACGAGACTGATCCCCTTCAATGAATGACGAGCCTTGGCCTAGGGGCACACTCCAGGCTGACAGTCATTGTCGGTCAGCAAAGCAAAGTGGGCTTCAGGGACTACAAGAAAAAGGTGACTGATAAGGTCACTGGCAAGGCCACCGGCAACTTTGCATGCAATTGCCTAATTCCACAGAAAGCAACACGCCTACATGAATGTTGGCATACATGCTTGCTTGCACGCATGCCCACACGGATGTTTGTATGCATACTTGCTTGCACTCATGCCTACATGAATGTTGGCATACATACTTGCTTGCACGCACATGCATACTTGCTTGCATGAGTGCAATACGTGCTTGCACGCATGCCCACACGGATGTTTGTATGCATACTTCCTTGCACTCATGCCTACATGAATGTTGGCATACATACTTGCTTGCACGCATCCCCACACGGATGTTTGTATGCATACTTGCTTGCACTCATGCCTACATGAATGTTGGCATACATACTTGCTTGCACGCATGCCCACACGGATGTTTGTATGCATACTTCCTTGCACTCATGCCTACATGAATGTTGGCATACATACTTGCTTGCACGCATGCCCACACGGATGATTGTATGCATACTTGCTTGCACTCATGCCTACATGAATGTTGGCATACATACTTGCTTGCACGCATGCCCACACGGATGTTTGTATGCATACTTGCTTGCACTCATGCCTACATGAATGTTGGCATACATACTTGCTTGCACGCACATGCATACTTGCTTGCATGAGTGCAATACGTGCTTGCACGCATGCCCACACGGATGTTTGTATGCATACTTCCTTGCACTCATGCCTACATGAATGTTGGCATACATACTTGCTTGCACGCACATGCATACTTGCTTGCATGAGTGCAATACGTGCTTGCACGCATGCCCACACGGATGTTTGTATGCATACTTCCTTGCACTCATGCCTACATGAATCTTGGCATACATACTTGCTTGCACGCATCCCCACACGGATGTTTGTATGCATACTTGCTTGCACTCATGCCTACATGAATGTTGGCATCCATACTTGCTTGCACGCATGCCCACACGGATGTTTGTATGCATACTTCCTTGCACTCATGCCTACATGAATGTTGGCATACATACTTGCTTGCACGCATCCCCACACGGATGTTTGTATGCATACTTGCTTGCACTCATGCCTACATGAATGTTGGCATACATACTTGCTTGCACGCATGCCCACACGGATGTTTGTATGCATACTTCCTTGCACTCATGCCTACATGAATGTTGGCATACATACTTGCTTGCACGCATGCCCACACGGATGATTGTATGCATACTTGCTTGCACTCATGCCTACATGAATGTTGGCATACATACTTGCTTGCACGCATGCCCACACGGATGTTTGTATGCATACTTGCTTGCACTCATGCCTACATGAATGTTGGCATACATACTTGCTTGCACGCACATGCATACTTGCTTGCATGAGTGCAATACGTGCTTGCACGCATGCCCACACGGATGTTTGTATGCATACTTCCTTGCACTCATGCCTACATGAATGTTGGCATACATACTTGCTTGCACGCACATGCATACTTGCTTGCATGAGTGCAATACGTGCTTGCACGCATGCCCACACGGATGTTTGTATGCATACTTCCTTGCACTCATGCCTACATGAATGTTGGCATACATACTTGCTTGCACGCATGCCCACACGGATGTTTGTATGCATACTTCCTTGCACTCATGCCTACATGAATGTTGGCATACATACTTGCTTGCACGCATGCCCACACGGATGATTGTATGCATACTTGCTTGCACTCATGCCTACATGAATGTTGGCATACATACTTGCTTGCACGCATGCCCACACGGATGTTTGTATGCATACTTGCTTGCACTCATGCCTACATGAATGTTGGCATACATACTTGCTTGCACGCATGCCCACACGGATGTTTGTATGCATACTTCCTTGCACTCATGCCTACATGAATGTTGGCATACATACTTGCTTGCACGCATGCCCACACGGATGTTTGTATGCATACTTCCTTGCACTCATGCCTACATGAATGTTGGCATACATACTTGCTTGCACGCATGCACTTGCATGCATACATGGATATTTGCATACCCACTTGCTCGCAAGCGTGCTTACATGGATGTTTGACTGCATACTTGCTCGCAAGCATGCTTACAAGAACTTGTGCCTGCATACTTGCTTGCAAGCAAGCTTGCGTGGATGTTTGCATGCATACTTGTTGGCAAGCATGCTGACACGGATGTTTGCATACAAACTTGCTTACATGCATGTTTGCATGCATACTTGCTTGCACGCATGCTTACATGGATGTTTACATACATACTTGCTTGCACGCTTGCTTACATGCATGTTTGCATGCATACGTGCTCGCAAGCATGCTTACATGGATGTTTGCATGCATACTTGCTTGCAAGCATGCTTACACACGTGTTTGCATACGTACTTGCTTGGAATTATGCTTACACGGATGATTTCATTTGTACTTGCTTGCACTCATGCTTATACGGATGTTTGCATACGTACTTGCTTGCACGCATGCTTACACGGATGTTTGCATGCATACTTGCTTGCAAGTAAGCTTGCATGGATGTTTGCAAGCATTCTTGCTTGCACGCATGCTTACATGGGTGTTTGCATACGTACTTGCTTGCACGCATGCTTACACACATGTTTGCATACGTACTTGCTTGCACGCCTGCTTACACGGATGTTTTGCAAACGTACTAGCTTGCACACATGCTTACACGGATGTTTGCATATGTACTTGCTTGCACGCATGCTTACACGGATGTTTGCATACGTACTTGCTCGCACGCATGCTTACACGGATGTTTGCAAACGTACTTGCTTGCACGCATGCTTACATGCATGTCTGTATACGTACTTGCTTGCACGCATGCTTACACGGGTGCTTGCATACGTACTCGCTTGAACGCATGCTTACACGGATGTTTGCATACGTACTTGCTTGCACGCATGCTTACATGGATGTTTGCATACGTACTTGCTTCCACGCATGCTTACACGGATGTTTGCATACGTACTTGCTTGCACGCATGCTTACATGGATGTTTGCATACGTACTTGCTTGCACGCATGCTTACAGGGATGTTTGCATACGTACTTGCTTGCGCGCATGCTTACACGGATGTTTTCATACGTACTTGCTTGCACGCATGCTTACATGGATGTTTGCATACGCACTTGCTTGCACGCGTTCTTTTATAGATGGTTGTAGGCATACTTGCTTGAACGCATGCTTACACGGATGTTTGCATACGTACTTGCTTGCACGCATTCTTTTATGGATGGTTGCAGGCATACTTGCTTGAACGCATGCTTACACGGATGTTTGCATACGTACTTGCTTGCACGCATTCTTTTATGGATGGTTGCTGGCATACTTGCTTGCAGTGCAAGTGCCAATCCCGCAAGAACCGCGCCTCCAGCGTCTCCTCTTTCAAGTCGGCAAGCTTCACCTGCGCCTGCCATAGACGAGGTATCACGCCGCAGAAAAGTTGGATGACTTCTGAGTGAAACCAGGAGGAAAACTTCTATTCTTGGGAGTCCCTTCCTTCGGGCCAATTTTCACGTCGATCACGATCCTTCCGGGCGGAAAATCTTGAAACATCAAAACCAGAGCGCAACAGCAAATCCAGTGGTCCCCTTCAAGTAGTCACATCTAGGCATGAAGCTACCTCATTCCAGAATTCATAAGTCCCGCTGCAAAAGGCGAAAATTCGCCTTCTATTCAACCACCTGCACAGCGTTTCGCTTGAGTGCTTTCGGGGTTTCGTGTTGCAGACACATTTGCACGCTGCCGACTCAACCGGAATATTTGGATGTCACTGATGTCGCTTCATTCCGCGTTCTTCTAAACCCCTGATTCGCAACAAGCAACTCACTTGAGGCATAGTGCTGGAGGACATGAGCACAGCGCTTGATTGTTCTTCACAGGAATGGGGGTCCTATCATATCTTAAGCCTTGCCTGTAGCAGTAACTCTTTACTGGGTTATTTACCCCCAATTTTGTCCAATGTTGTTGGTTATGTACCCCCAATTTTGTTGGTTATTTACCCCCAATTTTGTCAGGAATGTACCCCCAATTTTGTGGGTTATTCACCCCCAATCGTGTGCATAATTTACCCCCAATTGTGTGGGTAATTTACCCCAATTTGTGGGTAATTTACCCCCAATTTTGAGGTCACCAACAAAATTGGGGGTAAATAACCAACAAAATTGGGGGTAAATAACCCACAAAATTGGGGGTGAACGTTCCGCAAAATTAGGGTAAATGTTGCCGAGTCGGTAAGCCTGTACAGCCCCTCCTTGCCCGCGTAAAGAAGGCATGCAATTTATTGATAGAGGCAAGCCCTAAATCATATCCGTAGATGCTCCGTCAAAGAGTTTCAGAGTGACCCGTAAAATTGAGAGTCCAAAGAAATGAGTTTTGTTCACCTGAGAAGGAAGGAAGGAGATGCCACACATGTGCATATGCGTTTGCGGCAGCTGCACCGTGGAGGAGAACGAAGTTCCAAAAGGAAAGCGGAAACAACACAGTACAAACAAAGGCACCCACCAGTGTGCCTTTGTTGTTGAGGAAACTGTGTATGATCTGGAAATGTTTGACCACCCTTTGCACAGTTGTTTTGTTTCAACAAAGCACGGGGACCAACTCATGACGTGCTACCATGTTTCATGACGACAATCACAGTGACTGCGATTTGGAGGGCAGCCCAATTTGAAACCGACCAACGCAACTGCCTCTGCAGACTCGAAAGTGACACCGCATTCGGGCCGTGAACCTTTGCAGTGTCCTTCCAACTTCAAGGTTTGTCCGGTCACAAGTCCAAGCTCGTGCCTTTGGGCAGCTGAGCAAGTTCAGGATGGAGGAGATTCCCATGGCGTCACAGTCTGATTGCTGCGCCAAAAAAGGCGCGAAAAAGGCCGTTGAACCACTAGCCGCACGGAAGCAGTCCACCTCACCCGTTCAGCCCACTGGCAAGCAGCGAAGTGACTCGCCAACAAAGAAGCTACGATGTTGAATTGTTGCACCATGTGGTCACCCGGATACTTTCAAAGCCTTCTCTTTGCCTGTGGTCTGCCTGTGGAGCGTAATTTGACAACTGCCACCCGAGCCCTCGATGATTTGCCCAAGCGGGCGCGCTTTGTGTCTCAGCTCCATCTTGCAACCATCCAAAAGAAATTACAATGGTCCCAAGAATTGGTCGCAGTTGTTGCTGGCTGACTTTCCACTGCTCAACTTGGGTGCATACCGAAATAGAATAGAGGTCCAAGTGAAAAATGACACCTTTGGTTAACCCTCCTTCTCACATCTTGGGCACACGGCAAATAATATTCTCGGCAATCTGTTCATATTTAGTCTACCCTAAAATATAAAATAGTGTTCCTGTTTTGGGAAGCACCTACTTCACCCCCTTTGGTCTCGTTTCGCTTTGGACACCGGGCGCGGCGAGGCGCTGTTGGCTGCGGTCCTCCTGCAGGATGACCTGCGAGCCGTTCGGTCTCCAGTGGGGAACGGATTTGAATAGGATAAACCACCTACCCACGGGATTTTGTTATCCATGTGGCACTGGCAATGAGTAGAACCACACTCAAACTAGGGCCATCTACTTGCTATCAAGACCAAAAAGGACACCTATGCTCCTAGCAACATTTGCCCACACGGTGATGTTTAACACCATAAAAAGAGACATATAAGGTCACCAAACCTGGAGTGTTTGTTCGAGCAGGTTCTGAGCTTGTTCGGCTCCACATGAGCCAAAAGCTTCAAAAGGTCATTGGCCCCAGGAATGAGCCGATGATGCTTCATGACAGTAGACCATTCTCACTCGTTCAACAGGTATTTCGCCGCGATGGCAGGCAAGTGTGTCCTGTGGGGGGCCATTCCCTTCTTGACGTCCCACTCGAGCGGAGCATTTGGAAGCAGGTCATTCTGACCTGAGCCATACCAAACAAATCGAGTGGACTTGGACGTGATGGACTGACAAGCTGAACTTCCTAGCCTTGGCCAAGGATACTCTGCACTCTGCTGCTGCTAGCTCGTGTAAGGCTCCCATCCCCCCGTGCCCTCGACCCTTGCTTCAAGGTCCGCTCGGCTTCCTGGCGTCCGTTCGCGTCTTCTCCGGGACCCAAGCTGCAGAACCCCTTGGCGCTCTCCATCCTTCAGCTCCTCAGGATTCCTAGCTGAGTGCCCACCCTTCATGGAGGCCTAGAGGCGGGAAATTCTAGGCCACCTTGGCGCAAAGGTCCATCTTTTCGGACGTCCCGGGCGGGCCTTGCTGGTGTAGGCCACCATGGGCGGCATGGTGATCCTGGCAACCATCAAAGGCCCCGGCCGAATTGGGAGACATGGAAGTCCATGTAAACACGAGACTCTAGAGGCAAAGGGAAAAACCGGTCAAATCCCGAAATGATTTGTGATAGGCGCTATTTCGGCCATCGAAAGGGCTATTTCAATGCATGTGATGTCGGGGTGTGTAGATTTGCCCAAAGAGAGGTAGACAGAGACACAGACAGACCAACACGGAGTCAGAGACAGACTCAGTCACACACGCATACACACATTCTTGCTTGGTTGCGCTTAGTGAGCGTCGTGTTTGGCTGCCCGGAAAGTGGGAAAAGCACTGACTCGATGTAAGCCGATGCCCTTCCGCAAGAGTTCCCAAGGTGCACACCCGGCAATAGCTTTCCCTGCCGTGAGAAATGCCAAGCCAATCTGGGGATCAAAGCCGGGCAAAGAGCCCTTCACACCGCAACAGCTGCGACCTTCGACGTGCCGGATGATTCCAGTCGGAGTCCACTGTGTCGCCCGGTGCCCGTCCTGGTGACCGGGGAGCCAGGAGCCGACATCGCACCGGGACCTGCGCGGCCTGGCTGAAGTTCACATGTCATAGCCCTCAGGTGAAATGGCCATGGTTCAACACCCTGTACCCCTCATAAACATCAAAATAGGTGGTATATGGATGTTCATCCGCCCCAAAATGGAGGCATAGGTTATGCCCCATAGCCAAATGGGAATCTCTCAAACGCGGACTTCGGCAACTGTTCTTATCCACCAGGAACCTGGTGACCCACCAGGAACCTGGTGACCTGCTCTGCCACACTCTGACCTTTATGACTGCCAAGATATGTGATTCATTCTATCTGTGTGCCCACAGGACAACCAACGATCGTCTTGGCCACTCTCGGCACCCGGCACAAACGCTAACACAAAGCTCACTGCTTCCTCCTGAGAGCTTAAGGCTCTTGCTGTGGCTGTCAAACAAAAACAATCCCGATGACGTATCTTATACGGATACAGAGAGAGAGAGAGAGAGAGAGAGAGAGACAGAGTCATCAGATTGCGGGTATCTAGTATACTGGTTGCATCACGCAAATGAGTTTGTTTCACGAGAAACTGGGGGCAAACGAACTTCAGAGTGCGCTTGGAATCTTGTAGAGAGAACGCCCAAGTCTTGCTGGTTCCCATATGGATCAAAAGCGCGCGTACTTCTCAAAACTAATCAGGTAGACATCCACTCTCTCGTGTAACAATGTGAGTGGTCGCATTGCCACTTCGCATCTCTACGCATCTAGTTTGACGGCGAGGACGTGATCTCACCGTCCGTCAACCCTCATGGAACCCGAGCCGGTCCGGAGGTCCCCGAGCGACCAAAAGTCGCCTGCCCCGCCTCCATCGCTGGTCACCGGCTCTGTCGCCTTCCGGGGCGAGCAAGTCACTTGTCTCTCATAAGTCAGAAATGCGCAAAGGTATAGAAATCAAGCATGCCGCAGAACACGCGAGAGGTTGACAAATGCACGGGAGAAAAATGGCGGCTAGTCTATAATGCCTGCAATACAATCCACAGGGAAAAGTGGATCAGCACACGTTGCACCGAAGATCAAACGGCTATGTTGACTGTCGTGCTAGATTTTTTTTCGTCAACTGTTTCCCTGGAGGGCCCAAAAGCACCCGACAACGGTCCGAGGGAATTCTTTGGGTTTGATCTGTGGTGGGTTCATTCAGTGTCCCGCCCTTCAAAATCAGATTCTCCAGCCCTCGGAAAGGAAGCAAAGCCTTTCAGATTCTCCGGCCCTTTGCCGTCTGTTGGACTGGGCAAAGAACTAACGCTACCTGCGAATGCCCAGTTGCTTACATCGGATTTCCGTGTTCAGTTGCTTTGCCTTAGGCCTTAGGGGGCAAAGTCGTCGACTATCGACTGCTTGTGGAGCCGAATCAAAACAAGTCCTGCAGTCCAGCGCCGCAACGCGACACTGCCGTTTTCCGCTCGCTCCCGCTGCCCCTGTGTCCAACACCTCGGCGTTCAGGAGGCTTGCAAACGGGTGGTTTCTCGCGCATTACCTACGCCTTATTGAGACTGCGTATTCACAGCCACTTGCCAAGCAGTCCTTTGAGGCAGGAATTGGACTCTATCTGTCACAAGTTGCCCATGTCAAACCAGCCTTAAGTTTCTTCCTTGGCTAACTTGCGCCTTCTCACGAAATTGACCGTGAGACAAGCCGGGCAAGGAACCTGCTTCGCCACAAAACAAAACCTGGGAAGGAGCTGAGGTTTCTGCGGGAAAAGCCCTTGGCACTTCCATTCCGTCAACTCTTTGACCCATTAGTGAGGCTTGGTGAGGCTTGGCGGCTCTGCCTGTGTCGCTCAGCCGGTCCAATCACAGGTTCCGTGGTCTGCCCTTTACCCTGCGGACGCTGACACCAAGAACTTAGCCAGTACAATACAGCTGAACACAGGCTACGCAGGGCAGTATGCTCCTTGGCGATGGCATGACTTGCCCTGAGGATTGCCTGACACCACATACCTGCATAAATCATTGTGAATACCGAGCTTAGTGCTTCGCCAAAGGGTTCCTTTGAAAACCGAGCTCTCCCACCATTAGACCTTCTGGCGCTCACCTCACCATCCGCTTGCCTGCATGGCAAGTGCTTGTCGAGCACGGATTCATCCTGCTTCAAGAAGCCTTCCCTGCGCTTCTGGTACACCCGAAACACTTCACAAGAAAAACGGCGTTTTCACAAAGACATCTTCATATGGGTATGGCTCAAAAAACCGGCACCAAAATGGAACCCTGGTAAGTGGAAAAGTGGACCAAAACCTGCGCAACCCTAGCTCTTTAATTTTGAGCCACAAGAAGCGCGCTGGCCATCCCTCCAACATTTGCTGCCCATCCCTCCCTCCCCGCGCTCTGCGCCCCGGCACGCCAGCGTCGGAGCGTGCGGGCACCTGCGGCCAATGCATTGAACGCAGTGGTGGCCAATCTCTCCGAAACCAGAGTTTACAGAACACGTGGCTTGAATGCAGTGAGCTCCTCGACGAATTCCAAACTGCAATCTCAAACTAGAGCAAAAGAGACAGAAATTACAGATCCACAAAAAATCCATTATCTTTTGTTGGGCTCTGAAACCTTTGGATGATTCTGCTCTGCGGTATTGACTGAGAATTTCGAGAGGCAGAAAGATCCACAACACACCACCCTGGACACTGAGAATAGGCAATGGGCACAACGCCACTCTGAAGGCGATCAAACGCCACGCGGCAACCAGGGCCCAAGTCTCTGGACTTTTTGGGAGCCATGGCTACGTCAAGCTCTACACAACTCGATATATCTGGCAGGTGAATGCAACCACTGTTACCCCAGAGACGGCCAGGTAAGAAAACCGATCTAATCCTCAGAGTGCTAGATGTACCTCAACTCACTAAGCCAAAGCACAGAGGGAAAGATCCGAAGCTTTTGCTGGGTGAGTTAGACAAACTTTTGAAGCGGTGAATCTTGCAGGGCGCTCGTTGATCTCAGCAGTGCTCTTCTTTTTGGTTTGCCGTTCAGGCATGGTTTCTCGTTCTTTGAAAGCAGCTGCCGAGACCGCCCCACCACTAATTCTCAACCAAAGGGCCTGGCCCTTGGCCGTGAAAGAATCACGCTCAAACGGATTCATCTCGATATAATGACAAGCTGCATCAGCTCCACATTAGCCTGCAAGCAAATCAAACTCACACCTCAACTCAGGACCAGGCTGGATGTTTGCACAAGCATCATCACATTTTAATGACATCATGTCTTAAATCCAGAACGAAATTAGGCCCGTCAGGCCCACCACATGTTGTACGCTTCCTACTGCCACACGTCAACACGTTCCCTCGGATCCGTGACAGGCCGCGCGCCTGTCACGCGGCACGACTCCAGGTCCGGCCTGGCATTTGAACCGAGTGGTTTCTCCGTGGAATCGTGAGGACGTCGCAAGCGAGCGCTCGGTAAGCTTGAGAATGGGAAGGGTTCCAGGTGTCCACCCAGAGAAATCGAAGCCACCGAGTCCCAGATCAATCAACCCCAGCCTGCAAAAAGCTGGTGGTTCCTAAGCTTAGAACCAACAAGTGAAGGTCAAACATCGCCTGTGCCAAGAGCTTCAAATCGCAGACGACACATGCTTGCTAAAATGTTTGACGGTATGTGGCGTGGAACTCGCCAGGAACATGGCCTGAGTGTTCAAGCATCGAGACAGCAGGCGTGCACTTTCTTGCGCCTGCTCCGGGTCTCCCCGCACAACTCGGAACTTTGCAAACGCTGCAAGTAAAATCTGGCATGCACTATATACATTGGCAAGCCTCAACGGTCAAGAACTGCAGTGCTGGTTGCCGAACCCCATCGACCAGCACCATGGCCGCTGACTATTGAGGCCCTCAGCCACCATTCCCCTGGATTTGTCTCTTCACTGCCAACAACGCCTTGATCACGGTCTTGGCAGGCCGAGCCTTCACCACAACTTCTCTGCCGAAGCTAGCGGGAAACAAACTCAACACCGAACTCGTCCACCTAATAGAAAAACAAGAGGGAAAACTCGAAGTGCGGTGCTCCGAGAACGGAACCTCCTCTTGCCCGCTGTGGCCGGCTTCTGGCACGTCTTGATGCAAAAGTCTGGGAGGAACTTGCCCGCTTTGACCTCCTTGGCTTCGGTTTCAGAGAGCCGAAGCTCCGATTTCAGGTCTGCGGAGGCCTCACGATGCCACGAGTTGGCCCTCGGTCTGCTTCATGGCTTTCATGGGAGCTATGTCCAGAGCAAGCAGGAACTGCTCAGCAAGCTTCGGGGATGATGGCTGCAAGGCAGGAAACCCCTGAAGAGCCTGAAACGACCTGTGGTGAGTTCAACGATTCAAATACCAATTCCAGCGTGTGAGGCTTTGGCAGCCAAGTGTCAACATTTCGCCGGTCACTTGGAGAAAGGGCTGCCTGTAATCCCTCAATGACATGCAACAAGCAGCCCGAGTCATTGTTCATGCTGCATCGAGACAACAGGTGAGTCACAATCAAAACCCGGTATTAAAATGGCCGACCCAGAAAAAAGTAAGGAATTACCAGGGTGGTCGCAGCTGTTTCTGGCTGGGTTTGTCCCTTACTAACCTTCATCTACCCGGGTTTTGATTGTGGCTCAGGTGTGTACTTTTTTGCACTCGCTCCGATTAACTCCGTTCCCTGCAAACGCTGCAAGCACACTATTGCCTACTACACTATATACATTGACTTGCAGCGCTGCACAAACGAGCGTCAACGGTCAAAACTGATCAACAAAGCCCCAGCAATTGACCAGCATGGCCACTGACTACTCTCAGCCATCATTCCCCTAGATTTGGTGCATGAGTCAGAGTCCTGGATTTGGAAGGCTGAGCCTTCGCGACAACTGTCGAACATTCTTGCTCTCCTTGGTAGCTGGCTTCTGGCGCGTCCCGATCACGAGCCCAGAAAACGAACTTGCCAGAGGCGTTGGTCTCCTTGGTGACGATTTCAAAAGTCTGACCAAGGAACGGCCACATCTGGGGCGTGTTCAGGTCCGGCGGGGCCAGCCCAATCGTGATCCCACCCCTCATAGCCCCTGTCAGCTCCATGGGCCTCAGAAACTTCAGCTTCTTCATGGGAAACTTCGTGTCCGGAACAAAGAGAAACTGTGGCGAACAAGAAGAAGCAAATGTCGCCGGGTGAGACTGACGGATTCAACGGCATTTGCCGGTGGAAGAGTGCCACTGAGCAAGCTTCGGGGATGATGGCTGCAAGGCAGGAAACCCCTGAAGAGCCTGAAACGACCTGTGGTGAGCTTAATGTTGCAAACACTTGTGGGCCAGTCAAACACCAGACCTGGCACCAATTCCCGCCGTGGAATAGAATCAGCGTGTCAACCTTTCACCTGTCACTTGAATCAACAAGGGCGAGGGGTGGACAGCATGCAGCGGCCAACAGTCACTCAGGACCAAGGCCTTGCGCCCAGGAAGCGCAACAGCAAGGGCAGGACCTCGCAGCTTTGTTTCAAGGCGCACCTTTTCACAAAGGCCCGGGATACGTCCAGAGCAAAAGAGACTACATAAAGCCAACAATTCCTTGCCGACCTCTTGCGCTCCCCTTCAATCCACAGAGCCCGTCATGCGATTCGAGTAACGTCTGCCATTGCCTCCCTTCGCGAGCCCTTTCGATGCTACGAATGCCATCATGCTGCGCTTGAATGTGATCCCCGGCCAAAGTTGCAAAAGGCCACCCAGGCCCAAACACCGGATCAGTGGACCAGCCAACCCCTTTCAGGCCGCATCCCAAATTGGCATCCCCCCTCAGTGCCTCTGCAGGTAGGGAGGCGCAAAGCCTGCCGAGCGGCGCCTAAACACTGGGATCAGGGTCCCTGGGACCTGGGGGTCATGTGGTAGATCCCCCCAAAAAAGTCTTTGATCCAACCAACTTCTAATGATTCCCAGAAAAGATAATGCTGGGAGCATTAACACGCTCTTTATGTGAACACTATGGCCCAGTTTGTCTTAACCTGCAAAGGCCTGATTCATGTTGTTGTTTTGTTTTTTTCTTTCGGTTCTTTTCATCTTCTGGGATTTGAGATGTTGCCTCTTTCGTGGCCTCCCGCCAAGGACCGAGACTTCCTCCGCTGGGTTTCTCGAGCTTTCGGCGGCAGCTCCCTCCTTGTGAGCGCCAGCCGCCCGGGCCAGGTTCGGTAGAAGGCCGTGCCTCGGAGCGTCGGCCCTCGAAACGGGGAGCGACGGTGACGGGAAGCGAGGGGAAAAGGCAAGGGCCAGAGACACGTTCACTGGCAACAAGGGAACAGACGGCACCCGAACCCTTCTCAGTCAGATCTAGAACAAAACGCGCAAGAGGAACAAGAGGAACAAAGCAAACACAAACCTTAGGCAATGCGCAACGCACCAAGCACAGCTGGGAAAGTATTGCTTGACAGTGCAAGACATTCGAGAGTGAAGCGTTGTGCTGCACGAAGAGCAAAAGAGCCAAGCAAATCGGAACAAAGCAAATGGTTTTTAATCGGAGTCTTACCCACCAAGAGCTGAGGGTAGGGCGGAAATAGCGACAAGAAGAACCGTTCAGCGAACCGTTCAGCGCCGATTCCAAAACTAATGCTTCGCAAATCCGCCATGCACTAGGTGAATTCTGGCCACCTTGTTTGGCAAGTCTTCCAAGTCCCGGCAAGCATCCATTGAGATGGGGCACACGCGGACATTAGGCAATCTGTTGCTCAGGAACAACACACAGGAAGAAGAAATTATGATAACATTCCACTGTATCCATTGCCCGCCAATCAAAGTCCGTCCGCAGT